GAAAATAAGAATATCTAATTTAGTCGAAGGTCCCCCGTTCCTGTCATATTAAAGAGAATGAAATGGGGGGACGGGTAATACACACAGAAGAGACGAGAAATACGCTTACAAAATTTTAATCTGAATAACTGATGACAGGAGATCGACAGGGAGTCCATGGCTTATATAGCAGGATAGTAACAAAATTGACTTCAGATATAGAAATCGGAGGTATGAATTCGATTCTTATAGCTCAAAATAGGGTTCACTGGTGGGCTCTTATGTATACAGTGATGAATTTTCGGATTCCACAAAAGGCGGAAAAAATTGGGCAGCCCAGAAACTGTTAGATTCTCAAGGAGATCTGTGATCGAAGTAGTTAATTTCTCTTGTTGCTGTTCCCTTTCGGTTCGATTCACCATTCAAACGCATTCTACATTCATAATCTCTAATTTGATGTCATCATTTTAAATAACTTAAAAATATATATCATGACATATCGCGAACACTCAGTGAATTCAATTATTAACCAGTTCAAGAGAGTTCTAAAATATCATATTAGTATTCCACGCCGTGACAAGAGTCAGAACAGTTTCATGGGTTACAGTCGTGGACAATGTTGTGCGGGAAGAACTGTGGGATGTGGATTATCCGTTAACTTTTGGAAAATTACGGAAAGTTCCCAGAAGAAGCCTCATCAAGAGAGGTCCGCACGGAGAACCACAGAAGTTGACCAGTAAACAAAGGCTGGCCTTATTGTTGAGTGGTCGGCCAAACGAAACCGAATCAGATAGCTGCATAAGTCTGCTGATACATCCACAACTGTGCGGGACAAGTCCCTCCTGCTGGAATATCATGGCGAACAAGGACGAGGAAATTCATGGCTATTCTCTTACTCACAGATTGCTGTACTTGCAAATAGCGAGACAGGTGAGCAGGAATTCTTAATTGAAGTAAAGTTATCCCTGTACCAGACCGTGAAGGCCCATAGGGTTGTGAGACGTTGAGGGTCCCACAGTATCTAGCCAACCGGCTCAGAGATGGCTGTAAGGTTGTCAGTCATACGCGCCGGCCGCGCTTTACTCCCCAGGACAATTATTTAATTAATTCCTGGTACTCATTTCTGTTAGAGGCTGAGTGAACCCCAGGGCCTAGTGCGGCTGGAAGAATTTTTTTCCTTGGCACTACAGCCCCAGTGGGGCTAGGCATACCTCCATGAACTTCTCCGTTCACTTCGGTTTTTCTAGATTTTACACGTTCGGTAGGACTCCTTGGGCGGGTGATCAGCTCGTCGCAAGGCCTCTACCTGTACACAAACACAGAAAAACGCACACACACAAGCTAAACATCCATGCCCCGAGTGGGATTCGAACCCACGCTCCCGGTTTCCAAGCGAGCGAAGACAGTACATGCCTTAGGGCGCTCGACTACCGTGACTGGCGCTGGAAGGATTAGGTCAACTGAAAACAATCCAATGACATCATCGGGACTTGTACCTGCGACCTTCCGGCTTGTAGCATAGCCTCTCAACCAACTACGCTACCGCGTGCCCCCCTAATTGAATACAGATAACAAGAAATATGTACTGCTTCTTCGAGTGCGAATATTTTCCAGATGTGTTTTGTATATGTAATTGTTTGCATCTAGTGCGTGGCGAAAAATAATACACGAACATTATGACTTGGACAATAAAATAACCATGCCCAAACATTACTCATCCGAATTTACTTTTTTTTTTTTTGGCAGTACAGACCTCGTTTGGGCCTAGGCCTACCTCCAAGAAGCTCTCCATTTCACTTCGGTTTACTAGATCTTAGATATATGGTAGGACTCCTTGGGCGGGTGATCAGCTCGTCGCAATGCCTCTACCTGTACACAAACACAGAAAAACTCACACAAACATCCATGCCTTGAGTGGGATTCGAACCCACGATCCCGGCTTCCGAGCGAACGAAGACAGTGCATGCCCGAATTTACTTCTACGCTTACATATTTCAGGCATGACTGATAAGCCAGTAACGCTATGAAGTTAAGAGATATCGATTAACCTCGAATGTTGTTTTTACATTTGAGTCATAAGAATAAGTTAAATAGAAATTTATTTTCATTAGGATTCGGAAAACTATAGTACTATTTAGAGCCGGGATAGCAAAATTAATATAGTGGTGGGCTATGAGCTGGACGACACGAGTTCAATTCCAGGCAGCGGCAAGATTTTACTCTACTCCACAGCGTCCAGAACGGCCCTGGAACCCACCCAGCCTCCCCTCCAATGTGTGTGGCTGAGGGCTCTTTCCCCAGGAGTTAAGCGGCCAGGGCATGAAGCTGACCACTCCCATCTAGTGCCGAGGTCAAGAATGGTGGAGCTATACCTCCACTCCCCCATATGCCTTCACAGGAGTTTTTCTACCTTATTGTGTGAAGATCGCAAAATGAATTAGTTGGAGCATAAATATGTTTATAATTATGGCTGTTGCATTGAGTACACTTTTCGCTATTTACACTACAGAGCTTAATTATAAAATGGGGCTTCTCTTGTTCACGATTAACATATAGTTTCTTGTAGCTGGGATGTGGCGGTCGAGTGGAGTTCGCTGACTCTGAGGCAGCCATCAGGAGCCTGTGTTCTGATATACTAGTGGAGCTCAAGCGTATTGTAGAGCTCCAAGTGCCTGCTGGATTCTGGGATCTGTTTCTCGAAGAGGGTGCGTATTTATTTATTCGTGGTTTATTTAACGAGGCTGACAGTAAGTCAGACTATACAGCGTCAATTGGACGGATGATCAGTGAATAATGAATTTGAAATGAATTAGAAGAAAGCGGCCGTGACCTAACATGAGGGAATTTGCCTGGAAAGACTTAGGAAAACCACGAAATCACACATTAAGATGAGTCGGCCGAGATTAGAGAGAGAAAATAAATACATTTACTGGAGAAAAATAACACGAATGACCAAGGCAAAGAAGATGAAGTTGGAAGGGCAAGTAGCACGCACGGTATCGGAAAGGAATGCATGCAGGGTTGTGGCGGGAACGTCAGAAGGAATGAGACCACTAGGAATACTGATATGTAGTTGGGATGATAATATTAAAATGGTTCTGAAAGAAATAAAATGGGACTGTATAGACTGGATTCATGTGACTCAGAAAAGGGACCAATGGAGGGCTCTTGTCAACACAGTAGTGAACCTAGGGGTTCTATAAAATATTGGGAAATTCTTGAGTAGCTGAGCGACTGACGGCTTCTCAAGAAGGACTCAACCCTACGGAGATAGTTGCGTGAAATTCTATATTCTCACGGTGGTGACTATGAAGAACACGATCTTATGGAATGTGACGCCGTGTAGCCTGGTAGAATTCACCGACTTTTTGGAAGACTGCATTTCCTCTATACCAGGGCCTAATAGTAAGGCAGCTAACCGAACAAAATACTCTGAAACGTCTTTAAACATTTACCAGATTACACGGCGTTGCATCCCAGAAGGCAGTGGACTTGGATTAAGCTATCTTCACAATAGAGCTTTGTTCCTCGAGCATTCGCTTAATCTGAAACGGCCACTCGTCTACAGTTTTCACGAAATATGAAACTAATGCTCAGTGTTCCCCCTTCCAACAGTTTCTCTGTGCGGGATGGAAGGGTTCGCAGAATTTCTGAATCCTCTCTTCATAGACTGGATACTGCCGCTACAGACACCAGCAGGTTGCTTTGCTGACCGAGTTCAAGACGGGTAAGCTGCTCGTGTTAACCTTTCCTCATCATAGCAAGTAAAGTAAGTAAAAGTAAAGCTATCCCTGTAACAGGCCGTGGAGGCCCATAGGTTTGTGAGACGTTGAGGGTTCCACATTATCTAGACAATCGCCTCACAGATGGCAGTAAGATTGTCAGTCTTACGTGCCGGCCGCCCTTTAACCCCAAGAATATTCATGGTACTCATTTCTGTTAGAGGCTGAGTCGATCCAAGGGCCGTAGTGTGGCTGGAAGGATTAGGTTAATTGAAATAAGTCCACCTCATCGGGATTCGATCCCGCGACTTTCCGGCTTGTAGCATAGTGCCTCATCCAACTACGCTACCGCGTGCCTGTTCCTCATCATAGCAGCGGACTAAAATTAAATTGTTAAAATATCATGAGCGTATATCGGTAACCGACAGTGACTTAAATATTTTCATCATCGTTAGAAAGTTACTAAATTTTATTTTCAATCTCGTATAGGAATCAAAATCGTCGCACCTGAGATTACAATCCATTTTCCTGCCGTAAAATTCTTCATGTATGACGTGGCCACATAAACATTTTAAGACAAAGGACATTAAGATAGGTTGCACTCCAGTTTCAACGTCAGTGTCGTAAAAAGAACGGCCCATTACCTTCTATCATCGAAGCTGAAGCGGGTCATAGACACCTTCAGAATTTAATAGTATCGGATAAGATGAAAGATTATAGTGGAGTTTTGCTTATTCTCTAAAATAAAAATGAATTGTGTGACTATAAATTGAAATATTATGTATATGTATATGTATATATTTTTTATATTGTTGGTAGGGGTATTCAGATGCTGGTCACAGTAGCCGAGCGGTCTAAGGCATGAACTGTCTTCGCTCGCTCGGAAGCCGGGATCGTGGGTTCGGATCTGTTTCCGGTGAGGTACGAACTGAATTCTTATATATTATTCTTATACACTGCCGGTCACAGTAGCCGAGCGGTCTAAGGCATGAACTGTCTTCGTTCGCTCGGACGCTGGGATCGTGGGTTCGAATCCCATTCAGGCCATGAATGTTTGGTGTGTATGCGTTTATTCTGTGTTTATGTTGACCTGTGTTTAGATGGCGTCCTTGCGATGGGCTGATCACTCTTCCGAGGAGTCCTTCCGTGTGTGAAAAATGATTACGTAACTGAATAAGAGGCCAGGGCCCTGAATTGGCTGGAAGACATTGAAAGGCAAAAGAAGGGGGAGGGGGTATTCAGATGTTGCCTCAGTTCATTAATCAGACAAAATTTCTACTTGTTAGGCATGTCTCTGCAAGAGAAACCGCTCCTACATACGACCTTCTAGGCCTGATTGGCCTGCACAATTGTACTTATCATTTAGTAACATACAAGACATATCCAGCATCGTCCTTTATATTATATAATAATGTAGATATATTTATGCGTTTACTGTTCGACATTTGTTGGTAAATAAAGGAAAGAGAATGCGAGAGAGTATATACAAATTAATTAAAAGATTTCTTCGTTCTTTACGGCGAACAGGCATGCATCCTCATGTATGTGGATCTCAACATCAACTCCCCCATACGCCTTCATAGCGTAGTGCTTAATTAGGTAAGCACGGGGACAACTTTACCTTTACCTTTTATTATTATCATACATCATCATCAGTAATCTGTCAGACGACAGGTCCACAGTCTCTTCCAAAACAATTCCTCCACTTAATGCGATCTTCTGTTTTTGGAAAGAGACTATCCAGGAAAAGTGATAATGTGGTAGTTTTTCCATTTGCTTTCCACATCGCAGTACAACTACTACAGATACTACACTAACTACTAACATACTAACTACTAACATAACTGTTATCATACAGTTAAGGTAAAATATGAATTGCATCATATTCCGCTATAAAGTTATTGACACTGAAATCAGAATGGCAGAGACGTAAAAATATAATACAGTATTGTGACAATGATCTGTTATTTATTAAAAATTATCGTTCCTCCGAAACGTCGGTTAACACCACATATACACGGTGCCAAATCCCAGAAGACTGCTTTCTTAAAAAATTATCGTGTTTGACATTGTCTATTTTTGTTATATTTAAAGTTATGCAACATTTCGAAAGGTGTAAAAAGAGAATCTTACTCCGGCCATTGCTCAACAGTAGCTTTGTGTAACGGGCCCAACTGAGTACGACCCTTCTCCCATCTATCCTCCTGTTGACAGAAGCGATCCAACTTCCGAAACGGCATATGAAGTTAAATACAACTAATAAAATAGGCAATATCCAACATAATTCTATAATTGCTTAAAAACATTCTAATCAAAATTTATATGCATGTACCGAATAGACATGTATAGAGTCGAAGTGGAAGAAGCATTTTTATGCGTAAGATTACATGGATACGAAAACTGGACATGCAATACAAATATGGAATCCCTATTTACAGAACTTTCATTGTTTCCGACACTCGACTGACAAACATAATTTGACCAATAAAAGTAGAAACAAAGTTGTAGTGTGCCTAAGCACCATACCACGAAGAAATCAGTCCCAATATATTGAGAGTCATTAATGTAAACTAATTTTTTTTTCCTTGGGACTCAGCCCCAGTGGGCCTAGGCCTACCTCCATGAACTTCTCCGTTCACTTCGGTTTTTCTAGATCTTACACATTCG